AGACTGAGCTGGTGGGGGTGGCTGCAGCCTTTTAGAAACACCCCCCCCCTCAGCCCCATTGTGCTTCCAGCGAGGGAGGGGGAGGGAGCAACTGCTGTGCCACAGGCGGGCAGAGTCTACTCTGCCAGGGGTGCACACTGGGATGCTCAGCCCTCTGACATTCTCCTTGTTGTCATTCCACCTTCAGCCCTGCTGCAAAGGAAAGTAGAGGAAGTGACCAAGGTTTGCGAAAGCCGCCGCAAGGAACAGGAGCGCAGCTTCCGGATTACGTTTGACTGACTGCCTCACCGCCGGGGGGGGCAGGGGGAATACACGCACGATGCCCAAATGTTTTGTTACTAGTTGAGTTTTGTGTTTGACAATAAAGGCCTTTTCTGTGCAGAACTGTGTGGCCAGAGGAGTTATTGGGTGTGGGGTTTCCTCTCTCCTGTTCCCAGGTGTGGATTGAGCATTGATTGTGCTCATCTCATGGTGGTGGGTTCGAGCCCCACATTGGGCAAAAGGTTCCTGCATTGCAGGGGGTTGGGCTAGATGACCCTCGGGTCCCTTCCAGCTCTACAATTCTAGGATTCTACTCTGCAGTTTCAAGGGGCGGAGCGGATGCTGTTTTAGGCCCTGGAGACTTAGAGCACGGCTGGCTAACCCAGATCTGAAAAGCCAAGGTCCACACTCACCAAATGGTAGAGTTTGGATCCCGATTGTCATCTAGTCCAACCCTTCTCAATGCAGGGATCTTCTGAGCAATGCGGGGCTGGTACCCACAGCCCTGAGATTAAGTCTCGTTCTCTGCCGACTGAGCTATCCCAGCTGGACTCAAACATCAGGCCAATGGGCATGGATGGTGATGATGATGATTATTGTTATTACAGTTTATTAAATTTATATACTGACCTTCAAGGGAGCTCAGGGCCGTTTGCAACATAGAACACTGATTCCTGTATTGCAAGGGGTTAGGCTCGATGTGACCTGCATTATCCCTTCCCACTCTGCAAATCTGTGAACAGATGATAATAAAAACGACACACACACAATCATTGCTTTAATGGGCTGTAGTTCATGGGTAGGCAAACTAAGGCCCAGGGGCTGGATCTGGCCCAGCGTGTTTTTACATGAGTAGAATGTGTGCTTTTATTTAAAATGCATCTCTGGGGTATTTGTGGGGCATAGGAATTCGTTCAGTTGTGTTTTTTTTCAAAATATAGTCCGGCCCCCCACAAGGTCTGAGGGACAGTGGACCAGCCCCCTGCTGAAAAAGTTTGCTGACCCCTGCTGTAGACTGAGCAATTGTTCAAAGGCCTGGGATAAGAGGGATGTTTTTGCCTAGTGCTGAAAAATATGCAGTGGAGGCAAAGCCCCATTGGGGAGAGTGTTCTGCAAATTGGGAGCCACTGCAGGAAAGGCCCCTTCTTGTGATTCAGGGATCGCAGGGTCTAGGTCAGTTCCTATGGGAAGAGGCAGTCCCATAACCGTTGGAGCTTCAGGGGCCCCACAACGCAGGTCCGCCCCTGCCCCCATCCCAATGCAAAACTCTCTCATCCCTGCTGGCCGGAGCTGCGGCTTGTGGGAATGGGGGGTTGCCCCAATGGGATGGGATGGGGGGCTGCAGCACGCTTCATCTGCAAGGCCCAGCAGTGCAGAGTCAGGTCCTGTCGCCAGGAGCGTGTATGTTGTTGTTGTTGTTTAGTCGTTTAGTCGTGTCCGACTCTTCGTGACCCCATGGACCAGAGCACCCCAGGCACCTCTGTCCTCCACTACCTCCCGCAGTTTGGTCAAACTCATGCTGGTAACCTCGAAAATACTATCCAACCATCTCGTCCTCTGTCGTCCCCTTCTCCTTGTGCCCTCCATCTTTCCCAGCATCAGTGTCTTCTCCAGGGAGTCTTCTCCTCTCATGAGGTGGCCAAAGTACTGGAGCCTCAGCTTCAGGATCTGTCCTTCCAGTGAGCACTCAGGGCTGATTTCCTTAAGAATGGATGCGTTTGATCTTCTTGCAGCCCATGGGACTCTCAAGAGTCTCCTCCAGCACCATAATTCAAAAGCATCAATTCTTCGGCGATCAGCCTTCTTTATGGTCCGGCTCTCACTTCCATACATCACTACTGGGAAAACCATGGCTTTAACTATACGGACCTTTGTTGGCAAGGTGACGTCTCTACTTCTCAAGATGCTGTCTAGGCCTGTCATTGCCCTTCTCCCAAGAAGCGTGTATAGGGGTTGCCAACTTCAAAAATAAAAATAAAAATGGGAGGGGATGTATGACTCGCCTCACAGAGAATCATAGAACTAGAGAGAGACCTGTTGGAATGTAACGTGAAAGTGCTGTCTAAAATATTATTGGAATGGGAGACAAAGGATGAGTAAGTAAAATCCTCAGTGATACATTAGGCAATAGATATTGGTCATAATATAGACATGAAACCATGGGAACGATTGTGGAATATGGATATAAAATTGACAGCATGCTATGGTTTAAGAGAAAATTATATAAAAATGTTATATTGATGGTATCTAACACTGAGTAAATTGGCAAAAATGTATAAATCTAAATCAAATAAGTGTTGGAAATGTAAAAAGAAAGGTTCTTTTTATCATATGTGGTAGTCTTGTAATAAGGCCTACGGGAAATTATTTATACTGTAATGAAAAGGATTTTTAAAATGTTTGTGAAAAAAACACCAGAAGCTTTTCTTTTGGGAATTATAGGGACAGAACTACCTAAACTGTATAGAAACTTATTTATGTATGCTACTACAATGGCAAGAATGTTACTTGCCCCAAAATGGAAAGAAGCAGAAGTACCAGCAAAGGAAGAATGGATACAAAAACTTACAGAATATGCAGAAATAGCGAAACTTATTGGAAGAATTAAGAAATAAAGATTTTAAAAACTTTAAATAAAAAGAATGGAAATGGATTATTGAATATAATGTACAGAATGTGGGTACCGAATGCTGCAGCGAGGCTCCTCACGGGGTCTTTGCCATGGGAGCATATTCACCCAGTGCTTTTCAAGCTGCACTGGCTCCCGGTGGAGTACAGGGTCAGATTTAAGGTGCTGCTTTTGACCTTTAAAGCCCTTCACGGCCTAGGACCCTCGTACCTACAGGACCGCCTCTCCTGGTATGCCCCATGGAGAGCCTCAAGGTCCATAAATAACAACACCCTAGTGGTCCCAGGCCCTAAGGAAGTTAGATTGGCTTCAACCAGAGCCAGGGCCTTTTCAACTCTGGCTCCAGCCTGGTGGAACGCTCTACCTCATGAGACCAGGGCCCTGCAGGATCTGATTTCTTTCCGCAGGGCCTGTAAGACAGAGTTGTTCCGCCTGGCCTTTGGCTTGGAGCCAATTTGATTCCCTCCCTCCCTCTCTTTTTTCTTTTCCTTCTCCTCCTGCAATGAGGCTACATTTTAATATTTTAATGTTCCATTATTTTAATGTTGTATTTTATTTTTGTTTTTAAGTTGTAATCATAGAATCATAGAGTTGGAAGAGACCACAAGGGCCATCGAGTCCAACCCCCTGCCAAGCAGGAAACACCATCAGAGCACTCCTGACATATGGTTGTCAAGCCTCTGCTTAAAGACCTCCAAAGTAGGAGACTCCACCACACTCCTTGGCAGCAAATTCCACTGTCAAACAGCTCTTACTATCAGGAAGTTCTTCCTAATGTTTAGGTGGAATCTTCTTTCTTGTAGTTTGGATCCATTGCTCCGTGTCCGCTTCTCTGGAGCAGCAGAAAACAACCTTTCTCCCTCCTCTATGTGACATCCTTTTATATATTTGAACATGGCTATCATATCACCCCTTAACCTCCTCTTCTCCAGGCTAAACATGCCCAGCTCCCTTAGCCGTTCCTCATAAGGCATCGTTTCACTAATTTTACAATCATTTTTACATTTCAAAACTCGACTTCCTTCCCCCCCTTTCTTCTTCATTCTTCTTGTTTTTATTATTGCTTGTAAGCCGCTCTGAGCCCGGCCTTGGCTGGGGAGGGCGGGGTATTGTTGTTGTTTAGTCGTTTAGTCGTGTCCGACTCTTCGTGACCCCATGGACCAGAGCACGCCAGGCACTCCTGTCTTCCACTGCCTCCCGCAGTTTGGTCAGACTCATGTTTGTAGCTTCGAGAACACTGTCCCACCATCGCATCCTCTGTCGCCCCCTTCTCCTTGTGCCCTCCATCTTTCCCAACACCAGGGTCTTTTCCAGGGAGTCTTCTCATGAGGTGGCCAAAGTATTGGAGCCTCAGCTTCAGGATCTGTCCTTCCAGTGAGCACTCAGGGCTGATTTCCTTAAGAATGGATACGTTTGATCTTCTTGCAGTCCATGGGACTCTCAAGAGTCTCCTCCAGCACCAGAATTCAAAAGCATCCATTCTTCGGCGATTAGCCGAATATTATTATTATTATTATTATTATTATTATTATTATTTACAGATATGATTGTAAACAGAAGAACATTGACAGGATTATCGTAATAACCTACAGTTTTATAAGCGTATATATTTAAGTTAATTTGTTAACTTTGTGTTAAATATGTATTCTGTAGTTGACCTTTGTAGTATTTTTTTTTAATCTTTAAGATAATATTTTAGTTTTCCGTTAATTATGTTGCTTTGTTTTATTGATGTTTTAATATTCTGTAAACCGCTTTGAGATTTTTCTTAAAAATATAAAGCGGTATAGAAATGAAATGAAATATGCAGAAGACGTTAAAAATAAATTTTAGGAACCGCAGAAAGGGGGGGAAGGAAGTCGAGTTTTGAAATGTAAAAATGACTGTAAAATTAGTGAAATGTATAAACCTGAAAAGCATAAATATTTTTTAAAAAGAAGTGTAAACTTGGAAGGGGCTCGACGGGTCTTCTAGTCTAAACCCCCCCAGAAATGCCCATCAACTTCGGGGGGGCGGCACCCTCACACATGGAGTCGCGGCGGAGAGTGTGTTTGCGCGCCCACCGCCGGCTCTTCCCCTCTCCTGCCCGCTCGGAACGACATTTCCCAGCAGCCACCGCGCCCCGCCCCGCTCCCTTTCCTTCCTGCTCCGCGCGGCGCCTCTTGGGAGTTGAAGTCCGAGGAGGAGGAGTTTCCGTTGGTGCCGTTGAAAGCGATGAGGAGGTAAAGGGGGGGCTGCGAGGGGGGTTGGCGGGAAGTTGCTGCGACCCCCGAGGGGAGTTTTGGGAGTGCCTATGTGGGGCGAGGGGGGTCGCCACCCCCACCCTGCCCTCCTGACTCTGCTTCCCACAGCGGCGTGTGGGTCTCCAGCGTCGCCTCCTCCCCCCCCCGCGTCCCTTTGCTGCCCCCTTTACTTGGGGGTCAGGGCGGGGTGAAGTGCAGCCTGACGGGGCTCTGTGGGGTTTGTGGGGTCCCCGAAAGGCGCAGCAGCATCCCGGCAGTTTCCGAGGCGAGGGAGAAAGGAGAAAAACCCGTTTTGGGGGGAGGAAGCTGCCCCCCAAGTTCAAGGGTTCCCGCCCCAGAGAAGGTGGCCCTTAAAGGGCCGGACTTAAATGGCCAGCTGTCCTGGATGCCGCCTGAGTTGAGAGGCGCCGGCCTTGCAGCGGGTTGGGCTAGATGACCCTCGGGGATCCCTTCTTTATAGCATCTAGATCAAGGGAAGTAATAGTGCCACTGTATTCTGCTCTGGTCAGACCTCACCTGGAGTACTGTGTCCAGTTCTGGGCACCACAATTCAAGAAGGACACTGACAAACTGGAACGTGTCCAGAGGAGGGCAACCCAAATGGTCAAAGGCCTGGAAATGATGCCTTATGAGGGATGGCTAAGGGAGCTGGGCATGTTTAGCCTGGAGAAGAGGAGGTTAAGGGGTGATATGATAGCCATGTTCAAATATATAAAGGGATGTCATATAGAGGAGGGAGAAAGGTTGTTTTCTGCTGCTCCAGAGAAGCGGACACGGAGCAATGGATCCAAACTACAAGAAAGAAGATTCCACCTAAACATTAGGAAGAACTTCCTGGCAGTAAGAGCTGTTTGACAGTGGAATTTGCTGCCAAGGAGTGTGGTGGAGTCTCCTACTTTGGAGGTCTTTAAGCAGAGGCTGGACAACCATATGTCAGAAGTGCTCTGATGGTGTTTCCTGCTTGGCAGGGGGTTGGACTCGATGGCCCTTGTTGTCTCTTCCAACTCTATCATTCCAACTTGACCGTTCTGTGACTCCTGAAACCCAAAGGGGTCCATCAAAGCAGTGCTCTGTCCTTCCTTGGAGTGGGGGGTGGTGTATGTATGTACGTACCAGGGTGGATTTGATTTAAATCAAATCAATTTAAATCACTAGTCAGTAAGATTTGATTTAAATCATCATTATTTTTTACAGAAAGACTTATTCTTGATAGTATAATAATATTTACTTCCTTTTTATATATTTTTATTAATTTTTTAACATATCATTTCCAACAGTCATTTAACATAACTTCTTATCTTATACAATATTTTAGACTTCTGTCAACAACCTCTGAAGATTTTCCGTTCTTCATCACTTGTTCTGCATTTCTTAATTTCTCTATTTCTTTTAGTTATCGTTAACTAATAATTCTCTTCATAGTCTTCCTTGCAGTATTTCACATAATCCTCCTTACAGAACTTCTTGCAGTCCTACTAGCGTAATCTGTTTATTACAATTGCTTTTCAAATAGTTCAGATATTTACTCCAGTCTTCTAAGAATCTTTGGTCCCGAAGGTTCCGAATCCTGCCTGTTAATTTGTCTAATTCTGCATAGTCCATTAATTTCATTTGCCATTCTTCTTTCATCGGTAGTTCTTCTTGCTTCCATTTTTGGGCCAATAATATTCTAGCTACCGTTGTTACATATAAAAACAACTTACAATCCTGTCTGTTAACATCTCCCCAACAATACCAAGTGAAAATGCTTCTGGTTTTTTGGTAAATGTATATTTCAGCATCTTTTTCATCTCATTAAAATAAATCCTTATTTCCTGATGAATAGCCTTTGAACTATAATGTAACTTAAATAGAAAACTATCTTTAGAAAGATTTTTCCTCCAAAACCATTTTATTTTAAAAATCTGATTTAAATGGGGGGGGGAGTTCCTGGTATGTGTCTGTGTGTTGTGGGATATATAGCTGTCAGTCAAGTCCAATATTCTGAAACAGGACTAACTGCCTCTATGTGGCCGGCAGTTTTGTCAGTTGGTCAGTTGCTGCTAGGAGTGTTAACTGGTAACTGCTTGAATGAAGTTTTCTCATGACTCACTACTATCTAGTATATAGTTTATCTGTTATGTAACCTAAGCCTGCCTTCAGGAACAACTCTGTAAACCTGAATGCATCTGATGGTAAAATAGTTTATGTTAATAATAATAATAATAACAATAATAATAATAATAATAAGATTGGGGTGGATGGTTTAACAGTTTAAAAGGGTTGGTGTTTCCTCGCGTTTTTAATATTTCATTGTGAGCTGCCCAGAGTGGCTGAGGCAACCCAGTTGGATGGGCGGCATATAAATAACAACATTATTGTTCTTTTTCGCTGGGAAGTGATTTAAAATTATATTGATGAATGATTATCGCAGACAGAACAGATATAAGAGGATTTACTCGACCTGATTATTATGTGGATAGGTTATAATAATATATAGAAGTCCGAAGCAGAAATTGGTCCTCGTAAGGACAGTGTAAACGGCGTTTCCATGTGCTGCGCTGGCTCGCCAGATGCAGCTTTGTCACGCTGGCCACGTGACCCGGAAGTGTCTCCGGACAGTGCTGGCCCCTGGCCTCTTAAGTGAGATGGGCGCACAACCCAGAGTCTGGCAAGACTGGCCCGTACGGGCAGGGGTACCTTTACCTTTACCTTTAAGGACAGTGTGCAGGGAGAAAGGATGAAATGTTATTGCAGATATAAATATGTTTGATTTTATTGATTATTGAAATGAAAGTTGGGATAGCTAATGTATCTGGAGCAGGAATGGGGGGGGGACAGCTGGTGGGGTGGGAAGTCAGCTTTTAAATTTGTATTAAATTTGTATTAATTTGATGACAATATGTTTTATGCAAAATCAATTAAAAATGGTAAGAAAAACTGTTTTTGTTTGTTCGTTTTAAAGAGGGGCAATCTGGCCTTCGTTGTAAATAAATAATTGATTTTATTTTAGTAGGCACACCTCATCCCCAAAAAAGTTTTTGAGTTTCTGCTGAAATGAGGCTGCATCTTAATGTTGTATTTTAATCTTGTTTTTAAGTTGTATTTCAATCAACTTGTTTTATATTTGGTGTTAGCCGCCCTGAGCCCGATCTTGGCTGGGGAGGGCGGGGTATAAATAAATTTTATTATTATTATTATTATTATTATTATTATCATCATTACCAGAGCCAAAGATGTTTACCTGAAAATCAATTATACTGTCCATCATTTGAAAAATAAGACTTGAGCACCGTCTTGCCCCCAAATGGCACTAGACGTTCTGTTTTGGCGGTTTAAGGAGCTATTATGCGCCAAGTATCCTATCTGAGTTCTAAGCTCCCTGCTTCTGACCTCTCCGCCTTCACAGGATTGACAGCAGACACAGCCGGGATGACATCCCCCTGGAGGACCAGGAGACGGAAGGGCAGAGGCAGCTCAAGAGCCTCCTGCACCATCAGCTCGACACATCTGTCTCCATTGAGCAGTGAGTGCGGATCCTGAACAAGTGCAGAGTCTGGGTGGGAGGTGTCTCTGGCAGCGGGAAGCATTCTTGGTCCGTCGTCGCAGGAAGGTCGGAAGCACATTGCCTTGGGCAAGGGCCTTTCCCTGGGGGGCGAGGGGGGGGACACAGTGTGCCAATGAGGGTTCTCTGCCATCGGGAGAATGGTAGATTTGGAAAAGACGCCAAGGGCCATCTAGTCCAACCCCCTTCTCAGGATCCGGTGGCGCAGGCTCTTTCCCGGAGGCTTGGCCTGCCGCCTCCCAGGGTAGCCCTCTTCTAACGCCGCCGTGTTGGCTCGCAGGTGTGTGTCCAAGCGCCGCTGCTTTGCGCCTGCAGCGCTCTACAAGCCCTTTGGAGAGGAAGCCGCTGGGACCTGCACCTTGCCTCAGTTCCAGGCGCTGCAAGAAAGCAACAAAGAGGCTGCCGCTCTTCGAGAGCTGGGCCTCTCAGACGCCGAGATCCAATTCTGGAAGACCCATGCCTTGGCAGATAAGGTAAATGAGGGGGCGGGGAGTCCTTCACTGTGTTCACTTCACTGCCTAGTAAGGGCACTGCAGTCGGCTGGTGGAAGCCAGTTTGTTTTGCCACAGCCTATTAATGACCAGCTTGCTGTAACGCAGCCTTTCTGAACCTATGGGTCCCCAGAAGTTCATAGAATCATAGAGTTGGAATAGACCACAAGGGCCATCGAGTCCAACCCCCTGCCAAGCAGGAAACACCATCAGAGCACTCCTGACATATGGTTGTCAAGCCTCTGCTTAAAGACCTCCAAAGAAGGAGACTCCACCACACTCCTTGGCAGCAAATTCCACTGTCGAACAGCTCTTACTGTCAGGAAGTTCTTCCTAATGTTTAGGTGGAATCTTCTTTCTTGTAGTTTGGATCCATTGCTCCGTGTCCGCTTCTCTGGAGCAGCAGAAAACAAGTTGTTGAACTACAACTCCAATCATCCCTAGTTAGCAAAGCCAGAGCTCAGGGATGATGGGAGTTGTAGTCCAACAACATCTGGGGGCCCACAGGTTGAGAACCGCTACGTAACGCAAACTGGACCTTTTCATTGGTGGCACCAGTGCAGTGGTCTGCCTTCCATGCTGAAATACATGAGGCCTAAGAGTCAGGCTTCAGGGAATTGGATTCTTCCCCCACTTGGCAGTAGATAAGCAGAACAAAGGAAAAGGAGTCTTCTTACCATTTAGAAACTTTAATGATCACAGCGAGAGAACAAAGAACCCATCTCCTAGGAATGGCGATGCTCCCAATGAAGAATTCCACCCCCTTATGTCCCTAGTCACCCGTGTCACTTTTAAGTCTTGTAACCTGAACTTGTACCCTCTGTGCTTTCTTTTCTGCCACAGTCTCAGCCATTCTTGATCCTGGGGAGAGCAGATGAATGCTTTGCAGAGACAGTAAATCTGTTAACTCTCTCTCTCTTTCTCTCTGTGTGTGTGCGTGTGTGTGCGTGTGTGTGTTTCTTCTCCTAGCTGTTCCCCACCCAGTATTTCCCAGCTTCTGCCTTCTGAGCTATGTCCCTCTGCAAACCACTATTCCAAGTCTATACTGTCCTCCTGCTCCTGCGAAGATTCAGGATCCTGAGCAGGAGGAGGGGGAAGCTCCCACCATTCCTCCTCATTGCAGCCCTTCTCAGCACCAGAGGAGGGATCTCCTATGAGTGGGAGGAAGCTGAAGGGGTGGGGGACGAGGGGCAGGCACCTGACCCTTGTCTATGGCTTCCTTCCAGAGTCCCGGCCTTGGAGCAGCCCCCGAGGCGATACGAGAGAGGATCGGGGCCATCGAGGAGAAGATGGCCGAGCGCCAGCGCATCCTTTCGCTGCCCCAGCGCTTTGCGGGCAGCAAGCAGCTGAGCAGGCGAGAGATGGAGATTGAGAGCTCTCTCTTCCAGGGCACGGACCGCCACGCCTTCCTGAGGGTTCTGTACCACCAAGGTGCATGGCCGGGGGCCCCTGGAGTCCTTGTGGGTGGGCGTGGAAGGCAACTGGGGGAGGTGGCGGGGTGCTTCATTGCCTAACTTTCCTCACAACGTAGCCTTCTGCAAATGTCTGTCACTGAGGGCTCTGTTGTTTCCCTTCTGGCCCAGATGAGGCTACGCAGGAGGACCCCTTGTCACACCTCAGCACAACTCTTGGCCGCCGGCCTGAGGGGCTTCCCTTGCCTCCCCAAAGTGACCCAGATGTGCCGTGCCCCGTGCCTCCCAGCAGCCCCCCAGTGTCTCAGGGCGCAGATCCCCGGCCAACCCCAGCACTCGTGATGGTGACAGAGCCGGTGGAGTTTATCCCAGAGGAGGAGATCCGCAAAAACCGCCTCTCGGAGGAGGAGATCCGCCAGATTCCCCGGTTTTCCTCCTACAGCCCTGGAGAGCCAAACGAGGTGAGTCTCTTCCCTCCCTGCCCCTGGGGCTCAGGAGCCTCCCTGCTTGCAAATGGAGGAGCAGCAAGGACGTTCTCTCCCACCACTTGGCGGTGGGGGAAACGGGACGAAAAGCTTATTGGGGAGTGGCATCAGGTTCATGTTCTAGAACCCTCAAGATCAGGGGCAGATGTCCTAGGAAACTAATGAAGCTTGACCTTCAGAGCCTCAAATCCCAGAAGGACACCAGAAGTAACTTGGGTCCACCTTGCTTACAAAAACCGGGTCCGGTTCACCCGAGTTGAGTCGCATGGCTCCAGTCAATTAATTTCAGCAGTCTCCCTTTCGACAAACTCAAAGTTTGAGAGTTGGTAACAGAGAGGTTAGGGACGCGGGTGGCGCTGTGGGTAAAAGCCTCAGCGCCTAGGGCTTGCCGATCGAAAGGTCGGCGGTTCGAATCCCCGCGGCGGGGTGCGCTCCCGTAGTTCGGTCCCAGCGCCTGCTAACCTAGCAGTTCGAAAGCACTCCCGGGTGCAAGTAGATAAATAGGGACCGCTTACTAGCGGGAAGGTAAACGGCGTTTCCTTGTGCGGCTCTGGCTCGCCAGAGCAGCAATGTCACGCTGGCCACGTGACCCGGAAGTGTCTCCGGACACCGCTGGCCCCGGCCTCTTAAGTGAGATGGGCGCACAACCCTAGAGTCTGTCAAGACTGGCCCGTACGGGCAGGGGTACCTTTACCTTTTTAACAGAGAGGTTGTCAAGGGGGTCAGCTGGCCATTCTGTGGAAGAGCGCTTCCATTCTTTTTGCAGCTAGTCTCCAGAAAATGACTTTCCCAGGAAGCTCTCCAGACATGAAGATGTTGCTCGAAAAGCCAGGGGGGGAAAGATCACAAAATTGTAGAGTTGGAAGGAATCCCAAGGGTCACTTAGAGAAGGATCTGAAATATTTTCCCCAAAGCTTGAATTTGTTTTATTCTGGATTGTTTTATACTGTATTGGCCTGAATATAAGCCGCACCTGAATATAAGCCACACTTTTCAAAATCGGGGGGGGGGGGGAATACAATACCCGAATATAAGCCACTCCATTAAAATTTTGCAGGCACTCACACCCGTTCCATTTTACCATATGTCTATTTCAGCAGCAAAATCGTAAAGGCCAAGTTTTGTAAGGTCACAAATTTAAGCCGCACTTTGACTTTTCACAGTCGGAATTTGGGGGGAAAGTGAGGCTTATATTCAGGCCAATACGGTATGTTGTTTTAATGTGTCGACACCCACTTAGATTTTTTTTCTTTAAAATATAAAGTGGTATAGAAATGGAATTAATAATAACCATCATCATCTTCTCTTCTTTGGTGATCACTCGTAGCCGAGTAAGATTGTCTTCCATAAACAGTTTTGACAGTGAGTCTGTAAGTGACTGTGGAGGTCAATTCTGGATCAACACATCCTTCCACAGTGAGGACATAGGTTTCTGGACGGGAGTTGATAACGGTGTGGATTTGCCAAGCGTGCCTTCCTCCTAGCACATTTCTCCCTTTCGTCCTGAGTTCGAGCGTATTGAAAGTCCATGACACCTTTGGTAAAGGCTGTTCTCCAATTGGAACACTTGTAGGCCGGTGTTTCCCAGTTACATTTTTTTAGATTTGCCTTGAGAGAGACGCTTTCCATTTTTACGTTTGGAATACAGTAGTTGCTTTGGAAGACGATCATCAGGCATCCGCACAACATGACCAGTCCAACGAAGTTGATGTTGAAGAATCATTGCTTCAACACTGGTGATCTTTGCTTCTTCCATGAACTAGACATTCTGTGGTGGTGACGGCCACCTAGATTTAAGGTGTCATTTGGCGATTAGCTTATATATCTGAGTTTCTAACACTGCATTACTGTATGTGTTTTGGTGCTGAGCAGGTGCTGTACTTGAAGAACCTCAGCCGCCGCGTAAACATGAAGGAGCTGCTGTCTTTGTTTGCGAGGTTCCAGGAGGAGGGAGGCCCCCAAATCCAATTCCGCCTGCTGAGTGGGCGCATGAGAGGACAAGCTTTCCTCACCTTTCCCAGTGAGTGTCCAGCCCTCCACATCCCCCAGAGCCAAACGCTGGCCTTCCGGTTGAGATGTGGGCGGGGAATGGAGTGCAGAGTCTCCAATGGTCTCTGGATGCCTCCCCAGGATCTGAACTGCCAGGGCTGATCTTGTGTCGCTCTTTGGTTTCAGGTATCTCAACGGCACAGGCAGCCCTGCAGCTGGCAAATGGCTTCATCCTGCTGGGGAAGCCCATGGTTATTGAGTACGGGAGGAAGAAGACACCTTGACTCTGAGCCTTCATCCTGGAGTCTCCCCTGCGCTGCAGCAAAGTGGAAACAGCCAGAGCAGTTTCCCGTGGACGTGCGGGCAGCTGAAAAGTCCAAGCCAGAAAGAATTGTCACTTGCTGCCAGGGACAGAGACCTGGGACTGTGTGACGGACAGCTGAGCTAGACCAGAGTGCCTCCGAATTCCACCAGAGGCAGGGAACCTCTGTCTGTTTGGCTACCAAGACAGCTAGCCAGAGGGGGTGCATGCATGGAGCATTTGGGGAAGGAGAATAAAAGGAGCCATTTCTAAGAGAGTGGGCAGATAGTTTGAGGGAGAGAGTTGGTTCTGGTCTGCGTGTAGCATCCACTGCGAGAAAAGTATCTACAGCTAGAGAAAGGAGTCTCTGAGTTCAGACTGAAAGACGGTGGGAGAGTATTCAGACAGAAGTTAACTGGGGGGCTGAGTTTGGGCCAGGAGAAGTAGGAGCTGTGAGGATACAGTCTGCTTGGGTCTCATTTCAGCTAGGAGGGGAGTTATCTTCTAGGAAGAGAAGAATCCCAAACCAGTTAAGAAGGGCGTGGCGATTCCCTAGGTCTGTTATACTGCTAGAAGTACCTCAGGAGTGGGAGTCATAAAAGGTTGGGTAACGTGACAGAAAGTGCCACGTTGTTTAAGAACTAGAGAATTCACCTATGCAGCAACTAAGCTAAGGAACTGAAGTGAAATTATTGAAAATAAATAAAATAAAATAAAATAAAAAAATTTATTTATACCCCGCCCTCCCGGGCTCAGGGCGGCTAACACCAAATATAAATTATAATACAACATAATGCGGGGGGGGGGGGAGTTAATTAAAATACGGCTTAAAATGCAGCCTCATTTTAGTAGTAGCCCATAAATCAAGACCATAAAGGGAGGAAACATCAGATATTCACCCTAGCCAGCTATCCATGCTGGTCCTACATGGACCAGCAAAAAAGCCAAGGGAAAATTTATATTCCAAATCCCATATAAGGGGTCAGAGTGAGTCTAAGCCAAAGGCCAGGCGGAACAGCTCCGTCTTGCAGGCCCTGCGGAAAGATGTCAAATTCCGCAGGGCCCTGGTCTCTTGTGACAGAGCATTCCACCAAGTCGGGGCCAGTGTTGAAAAGGCCCTGGCCCTAGTTGAGACCAATCTAAGCCACTCCAACGCAGACCTGTCCTCCTCCCAAGCTGCCTCTAATTCCCCTTGCTTTGCAGAAGGTGATGTCACTTTTCTTGCCCTGTCTCTCTGGGACATCTGGCTTCCAGGGATGCCAGCTTCATCAAAAGCCAAGACATGGCATCCTATTGCACGTGTGAGGTGTATGGTGGGCAGGGACGGATGCTTCTGCTAAGAAATGGGTTTATGGGAAGACAGATGGACAGATTTATGTGAAGATAGATGTGAGGCTGGTTATCCCACAGGATGAATATGCTGAAAGAATCTGAGGATTTACTATCTCATCTAGAAACCTGTAACATCTTTTTTTTTTTATTGATTTTAATTCGTTTTGCTACATCAAACATTAAAACAAACGAAAGAAACATACATAACACATACACACAAAAAAGAAATATATAAAAAAGAGAAATAATAATAAAGAAAACAAAAGAAAAAAATCTCCTAACATAAGATACCAACAAATTAGGTTACATTTACTAAATAACACACAACACTAATTGACTTCCCTTCATCTCGGTTTCAGAATATATTATATGATTTTTTTATCTGCAGTTTCTTTTCCTCAAAAAACTCTTTACATCACAAGTGTTATGCCACACCTACTGTAACCTGTACCTGTAACATCTAACTGAAGAGTAGTTACTTAAAAGAAGCTGTGCATTTACTACCTTGTTTAGAAGCCTCTAACATCCATTCGATTTAGTGTAATTATTAATGCTAACTGTTTCCCGAAGGAACATTATCTCCTGCTGCGTCCTTTGTTTTATTAACTTTGTCCTATAAAATAAATCTTTCTTATTTCTTCAACTTCTGCCTGGGTCTCCAGGGATCTAAGGTAAGGTCAAGGTAGGTAAAGGAACCCTGGATGGTTAAGTCCAGTCAAAGGCGACTATGGGGTTGTGGCGCTCATCTCGCTTTCAGGCTGAGGGAGCCTGCGTTTGTCCACAGACACCTTTCTGGATCATGTGGCCAGCATGACTAAACCGCTTCTGGTACCCCAGACCTTCTGATCGGCAAACCCAAGAGGCTCAGTGGAAGGCAGCTATGCTCACCACTATACCACCAACGCAACCCAAGAGGCTCAGTGGTTTAGGCCACAGCGCCACCCACATCCCAAGGATCTTAAGTTTACATCCAAGGATCTAAGTTTACCCTCACACAAAAATCAGCTAACCCATGGTGGTTAATATGGTGTATATAGAGGGGGTTTGCCGCAGAGCACAACAGGGAAGGCCACCAAAGAGTACTCACTAATGGTTCCTCGCCATCCGGGAGAAATGGGAGAAGTAGGGTACCACAGGGTTTGGTCCTGCGCGTGTTACACTTAGATACCCATCTTGACCGAAGGATACTCTGCCATTTTAACAGTCTTAATGTGGTTACCACATAAGCACAGTCCTGCAGTGATTCAGATAAAGCGTCCAGACCTCCATTGCCAAATTTAAGTCCAGAAATCTAGGCTGGGCTATTGTGACTCGGCAACTGGAGCAAGGGAGGCAAAAGGTAACTGCAAAGGATGTGCTAGTACTGGGGCTGGAGATGCCTTATCCCAGGTTACATAGTCCTCTAACGAAAGATTAGCTATCTGGTCAACTGATCCAGACTTGTTGCCGGAGAAGATGTCATTATTAGCGAAAGCATGCTTTGCAAAAATGTGCCTTAGGAGAAATCTGCACTACAATGCTGACAGATTTTCAGGAGCTCCTTTCTTTTACTGTGAAGCAGCAATTTGGATAACTTAAGACTGCAGAAATGAGGCAGAGAAAAATGAAAGGTGTGCCCCATGTCTAATGGGTTTCTCACTCCTACATGCTCCCTCATCCCCCTCCCCACTTTTTCTTCTCTCTGCACTCCACTGCAAATCATAGAATCATAGAGTTGGAATAGACCACAAGGGCCATCGAGTCCAACCCCCTGCCAAGCAGGAAACACCATCAAAGCACTCCTGACATATGGTTGTCAAGCCTCTGCTTAAAGACCTCCAAAGGAGGAGACTCCACCACACTCCTTGGCAGCAAATTCCACTGTCGAACAGCTCTTACTGTCAGGAAGTTCTTCCTAATGTTTAGGTGGAATCTTCTTTCTTGTAGTTTGGATCCATTGCTCCGTGTCCGCTTCTCTGGAGCAACAGAAAACAACCTTTCTCCCTCCTCTATATGACATCCTTTTATATATTTGAACATGGCTATCATATCACCCCTTAACCTCCTCTTCTCCAGGCTAAACATGCCCAGCTCCCTTAGCCGTTCCTCATAAGGCATCGTTTCCAGGCCTTTGACCATTTTGGTTGCCCTCCTCTGGACACGTTCCAGTTTGTCAGTGTCCTTCTTGAACTGTGGTGCCCAGAACTGGACACAGTACTCCAGGTGAGGTCTGACCAGAGCAGAATACAGTGGCACTATTACTTCCCTTGATCTAGATGCTATACTCCTATTGATGCAGCCCAGAATTGCATTGGCTTTTTTAGCTGCCGCGTCACACTGTTGGCTCATGTCAAGTTTGTGGTCAAATCGACAGCAGTGACCAGAGAAGAAATGACCACTGGGAGGAGTGCAGAGAAGAGAAACACCATGGTGCATCTGCAACAACACAACCAGATGCTGTCACCTTCCCTGGTTGCAACAAAACATGTCTGTCCTGCATTGGTCTCTGCAGCCGCAGCAGGCGCTGCGAGCTTCCAACAGTTTGACTTCACCCTCAAAGATGCACTTCTCCATTGTTTTCCAAGACTGGCAGATGCCAATCAATATATAATGCCAAAGTAGGCTTCCGTGCTTTTTACAGCTATAAACATTTATGCATCATTAAACCAGAAGCATATCGACATTTATGCAACATTAAACCACAAGCATCCCTAATTAGAACACGGAATGAAACAATCCCAGTTAATCACCCAGATATAAAGATCCACAATAATTTAAATATACAATAAAGCAACCCCCTATAAACCTTAGCATGTAAGCGTCCACATTTATAACAACACAAGAAAGCAATCCTGCTAAAGCGTAGCATGCATACTCAAAATCCACAATACATCAATTTCATTAAAATATAAGCAGCCGTAACTGAAATAAGTAATTAGACGATCCCATTAAACAAGAAAAAGGCACAAGCGGCAGGCAGGTTGCCACCTTCCCCCTTGGCAGGGTTCCTCTGCCTTTGGAAGCCTCGATTCAGGAGGACGTGGGGAAGCTTCACCGGTTGAATCTCTGCCAATCGTGACCCGCTAGGAACAAAGGTTGCCAGACTGGTGGCAGCTAATGAGTTAATGAGCCGCTGCCGTGCTAAGAATGAATGAATGAAAATCTGCCCTCCTCCGCCTCCGGCTTTCCTTGTTTAAATCCCTTATCTCCCTCTGGAGCCCAAACCAGGCAGGTTACACCTCTCACTTTCCCGGTTGGTGGCGGGGAAAGTCAACCCCAAAGGGTTAAAAGCGACGAGCTACTGGCTTCCTAGAGAGGCAATGAGGAAGGCGAGTCCTCCCAGCTCCCTGGGATGGTCCTGTGATGGCTTTTTGAATGTCCTTTTGCTGCAGAAAACAAGAGAGGAGAGCAGGATCCAGCCTGGGAAAGGTATTGGGCGGTGGGTGGAGGGATTTGCAAGATCGAGGTTTAATAAGATCTCCCATCACCACTTTCCTCTGGCTCTCTGGTTGCAAAAGCTGCCTGGTGACCTCAGGAGGGTCGGACTCTGTTCCTCTTTTGGGAGGGAAGACCTTTTGCAAACGGTAATTTCGTTCCCTCTTTTCCTGTGTGTGCAAAGCGTAAATCCCTGCTAAAGTTGCCTGTCTGGAGATGCCTCCTTCTGATATAGCAACGCACACAGCAAAATCACTGGGGTGTGATGGAAGGTGGTGGTCTCTCTCCAAGAGAAGCTGCCTTATACAGGGCATAGAATCATAGAACTGTAGGGGTTCCCAGGGTCATCTAGTCCAACCCCCTGTGATGCAGGAATCTCAGCGTAAGCATCCATGACAGTTGGCCCTCCAACCTCGGCTTAAAATCCTTCCAAGGAACTAGAGTCCACAACCTCCCTTTGGAGTCTGTTCCACAGTCAAACAGCTGTTAGAGTCAGAAAATTTTTCCTGATGTTTAGTCGGAATCTTCTTTCTTGCGACTTGAAGCCATTGGTTCGGTTCCTACCGTCCACAGAAGGAGAAAACAAGCTTGCTCCATCTTCCATGGAACAGCCCTTGAGATATCCAGTTCTGGGCACCACAATTCAAGAAGGACACTGACAAACTGGAACGTGTCCAGAGGAGGGCAACCAAAATGGTCAAAGGCCTGGAAACGATGCCTTATGAGGAACGGCTAAGGGAGCTGGGCATGTTTAGCCTGGAGAAGAGGAGGTTAAGGGGTGATATGATAGCCATGTTCAAATATATAAAAGGATGTCATATAGAGGAGGGAGAAAGGTTGTTTTCTGCTGCTCCAGAGAAGTGGACACGGAGCAATGGATCCAAACTACAAGAAAGAAGATTCCACCTAAACATTAGGAAGAACTTCCTGACAGTAAGAGCTGTTTGACAGTGGAATTTGCTGCCAAGGAGTGTGGTGAAGTCTCCTCCTTTGGAGGTCTTTAAGCAGAGGCTTGACAACCATATGTCAGGAGTTCTCTGATGGTGTTTCCTGCTTGGCAGGGGGTTGGACTCGATGGCCCTTGTGGTCTCTTCCAACTCTATGATTCTATGATTCTATATTTGATGATGGCTATCACATCTCCTCTCAGTCTCCTCTTTTCCAGGCTAAACATACCCAGCTCCTTCAACCATTCCTCATAAGGCTGAGTTTCCAGACCCTTGACCATCTTGGTTGCCCTCCTCTGCACACCTTCCAGCTTGTCAATGTCCTTCGCAAATTGTGGTGCCCAGAACTGGACACAGTATTCCAGGTGTGGTCTGACCAAGGCAGAATAGAGCATAGCTGTCAATGTTTCCCCTTTTTTTAAGGGAAACTCCCTTATTCCAAATAGGATTCCTCGCAAGAAAAGGGAAAAGTTGACAGCTATGGAATAGAGTGAGACTAAGACTTTCCTTGACCTGGACACTAGACTTCTGTTAAGGCAGCTTAGAATAACATGGGCATTTTTTTTGCTGCTGCATCACATGTTAAGCTTTGGTCCATCAAGACCCCTAGATCCTTTTCACATGTCCTGCTAGTAAGCCAGGTGTTTCCTCATCCTATACAGTGGTGCCTCTGGTTGCGAACGGGATCTGTTCCGGAGGCCCGTTCACAACATGAGCAGAAGGCAACCCGCATCTGTGCGTGTGCGGGTCATGATTCGCCACTTCTGCGCATGCGTGTGACATCATTTTGCGTGTCTGCGCATGCACAAGTGGCGAAACCCAGAAGTAACCCTTTGCAGTACTTCCAGGTCACAGCAGAACACAACCTGAAAACGCTCAGCCTGAAGCAAAAGTAGCATGAGGTATGACTGTATTTAGTTCTTCCTGCCTAAGTGGACAACCTTACATTTGTCCTTATTGAAATTCATTTTCTTAGCTCGGGCCCAGTTCTCCAATCTGTTAAGCTCATTGTGAATTCTGATTCTGTCTTCTGCGGCATTAGCTACCCCTCCAAGTTTGTTGTCAGTCCTTTATTTCTGCTCATTTTCTCTCATGACCTTTCCCCCTCTTTTTCCTCAGCCGATCACCGGAATTTATTCTGGAATTTTCCTCTTGGTTTTTGTTCGCTCCTCCGTGAACCTTCTCAAATATGAAAAGGGGGGATCAGACCCCCACAGGACCAACATCAGGAGAGGCGGGATCTCCAGGAGCAGCGAAAGCCCCTCACGTCCTCCAAGCTGGGAACATCCGAGAATTCCTGAGACGGATGCCAGGGGATCAGATCAAACAAGAGCCAAACGAGAGCTCCCTTGAGCTCTGGGAAGTCCAATGGCAGGAGTTCCTGAAGACGGTGGAGTCTCCTCATCCGGAATGGGGCACCCCAGCCTTTCCAGAGAAGTCCTCGCCATGGGACGACGCCAAGGGCTTCCTGGCCTCCTTCGAACAAGTGGCCCAAGCCTGCCGGTGGCCCCGGGAGGAGTGGGTGGCCCGACTCTTGCCGGCCCTCAGCGGGGAAGCCGAGCGGGCCTTCCGCAGGCTGCAGGCCCGAGACAGAGAGGATTATGGGAAAGTGAAGGTGGCCATCTTGCGAGGGGATGCCATGAGCCGGGAGAAGATCCGCCAGCATTTCCGGCGCTTCTGCTACCAGGAGGCCGAGGGGCCGAGAGGGGCCTACGTCCGGCTGCAGGAACTCTGCTGCCAGTGGCTGAAATTTGAAAGGCACTCCAAGGAGCAGATCCTGGAGCTGCTGATCCTGGAGCAGCTCTTGACCATCCTGCCAGCCCACATCCAGAGCTGGGTGAGGGAGTGTGGGCCGGAGACCTGCTCCCAGGCGGTGGCCCTGGCCGAGGACTTCCTGTTGAGGCAGGAAGTGGCCCAGAGCCAAGAAAGCCAGGTGAGGCCATATGGCCACCTTTTCTTTCTTTTTTTAAATAATAAATTTTATTAGGGTTAAACCACAGAGCCTAGGGCTTGCCGATCAGAAGGTCACGGTTTGAATCCCCGCAACGGGGTGAGCTCCCATTGCTCGGTCCCTGCTCCTGCCAACATAGCAGTTCGAAAGCACACCAAAAGTGCAAGTAGATAAATAGGTACCGCTCCAGCGGGAAGGTAAACGGCATTTCCATGCGCTGCTCTGGTTCGCCAGAAGCTGCTTAGTCATGCTGGCCACATGACCCGGAAGCTGTACGCCGGCTCCCTCGGCCAGTAAAGTGAGATGAGCACCGCAACCCCAGAGTTGTCTGCGACTGGACCTAACGGTCAGGGGTCCCCTTTACCCTTTACATTTATAAAGAGAAATACAAAGCTTAGTATGAAATACATTTTTTAAATCCAAACTAAAGCGTTAATCTAAATAAGATAAAAACATAGAGAGAAGAGGGGGTGGGAAAGAGGGAGAAAGGTAAAGAGAAAGAGACAGAAAAGGTATGAAAAGAGAGAAAGAAAAATAAAGTTCAAAGAATCAACTGTACAGTTGGAAGGGACCCTGAGAATCCTCTAGTCCAGCCCTCCTGGAATGCAGGAATATGCAGCTGCCCCATATGGGGAATCGTTTTTTAAAAATCAGTTTACTAGTACAAAATACAGATAAACAAAAAGAAAAAACAACAACATATCTATATAAAGAGATTCTCCGAATCTTGGGATTTCCTCCCATCCCCTCCATGGGGTCTCATTTTAAACATCTACAACTGCATATTCATCCATACTCCAATCATACCATATTATCCAAAGTAATTTTTACACTACAAGTGGACTCAGAATCCTGCTCTTGTTTCCATCTGCTTACAGTGGTCTCCTAAGCAGCTTATGAATTTTTCCCATTCTTTTGTAAAGTTTTTATCCTCTTGGTTTCTGAGTTTTCCAGTTTTGCCATCTCAGCATAGTCCATCAGCTTAGTTCGCCATTCCTCTCTTGTAGGGACTTTGTCTTCTTTCCATCTCTGGGCTAGTAGCATTCGGGCGGCTGTTATTCCATACATAAAGAGGCTTTTCTGCTCCTTTGGTATGTCGGTACCTGTAATTCCTAATAAAAAAGCTTCTGGTTCCTTAACAAAAGTTATTTTAAGCATTTTGTTCATTTCATTATATATCATCTCCCAGAATGCTTTTACTACCTTACACGTCCATCACATATGATAAAAGTTACCTTCTTTTTTACATTTCCAGCAGATATTTGAACTTGTCCTATACATTTTTGCTAACTTAGTAGGAGTCAAATACCACTGGTACCTCATTCTCATAAAATTTTCTTTCAGTGTACAACATGCCCGCATGGGGAATCAAATCTGCAACCTTGGAATTATCAGTACTTTGCTCTAACCAACTGAGCTATCCAGAAACCAAAGAACTTCCAATTCTTCATCTGTCTGCTGTATATAAGCAATATTCACTTCATCCACTCCTATATAACACCTAACAACACAAGTTTCTATAAACAAACATTATCTTCAGTCCTCAAATCCAAATGTCATTAATTCATTTTCACACAAAAGGTCTATGAGGGGTTTCCAATTTTAACAGCTAGGATCTCTGTCCACCTTTTTTGCCTCCCAACCTCCAGTTCCCTCCAGATACTTTTGAGCTCTAACTCCCATAGCCAATGCTCAGGGAACAATGGGAATTGCAGTCCAAGAACAACGGGATGAGGACTGCAGGTCCCCCACCATCCCTAAGTTGTATGGATTTATCTCGGATATGAATTTGCTGATGAGAACTGAGGGACTTGCTCAGACCAAAATCTTCTTCAGAGCAGATCTCAGTTCCGCCTTGACCGGATTCCTCTCTGCTCTTTCAGGTGACGTTTGAAGAGGTGGCTGGGAGTTCCTCCGAAGAAGGCCAGGGTCCGTCCCTGAACAAGCAGAGGCTTCTCTGCATCGACACCAAGCAGGAAGATGACGACGGAGAAGCTGGCCTGCTGGGTATGGGGAGAAAGCCTTTTGTACATGAGTTTCTCTTGTTTGTTTAATTTTGTTTTTATTCGTTGTAGTATCCGTCTCTTCAGCACCAGCAGGCACTGCAACCTTACAACAGTTTGACTTCAACCCCAAAGGCCCACTCCTCCATTGATTCCCAGATGCCAAAACCAAAATTATTACAATTATTATTATTATTATTATTATTATTATTATTATTATTATTTATTATCAGAGTAAGCATATTAGTGGCTAGAGAGTCAGACTGACTGACCTGTAATGAAAGGGATCACCTTGTTAAATATACAGTCATACCTTGGAAGTCGAACGGAATCCATTCTGTTCCAAAACGTTCGGAAACCAAAGCGTGGCTTCTGATTAGCTGCAGGAAGCTCCTGCAGCCAATCAGAAGCCGCGCCAGACATTTGGCTTCTGAAAATCGTTCGAAAACTGGAACACTCACTTCTGGTTTCCAATCGTTCAGCAGCCAAAAAGTACGAGTTCCAAGGCATTCGGCAACCAAGGTACGACTGTACTGCATAATATTTATTCATTCATTCATTCATTTCCCGCCCATCTGGCTGGGCTTCCCCAGCTACTCTGGCGGCTTCCAACAAAATATTAAAATACAGTAATGCATAACACATTAAAAGCTTCCCTAAACAGGGCTGCCCTAAAGTTGCAGCCAAGGTCTTTGAAAAGAACGTGCTTTTTTCCCCTCTATCACATAACCACGTTCCCCCTCTGTTTCCAAGTCTCGTTTCTCTCAAAGCTCTGGGTGTATTTAGGATTCTCTCCTCCTTCCTCCAGCAGCCAAAGGTTGGGTCACCATCTGCAACGGGGAAGACTACGCGGCGGAAGACTCTGAGGCCGAGTGTCCGCACGGGACATCGGTGTGGAAAACGGAGGAGAGCTTTTCCGAGTGTTGCGCGCAAAAAAATGCCTCAGGGCGCCAGGGAAGAGCAGAGGGCCGTCAGGAAAAGCTGATGGCAGAGGAAGCCGATGGATTGGGTTGCCTGACCCCCACGGAAACCCCGGCTGCAGTCCCGGTAGGAATCGACACCAACCGGAAACAGACCGCCTACGGTTCTTACGGCCGGAACGCCATCCTCCCGACGAGAACTCGGATGGGGGTGAAGCCGGTAAAATGCCAAGTCTGCGGGAAGTACTTCCTGTGCAGCGCAAAGCTCCTCGTCCATCAAAGGACCCACGCCGGGGAGAAACCCTACAAGCGCCTGTATTTCTGTGGCGCCCAGCACATGGGCTCCCCCGGCCAACCCCCCGTCCTCCACAAGATGGTTCCCTCCCGCATCCGTGGCCAGCGGTGGGAAGGGAAGGAAGTTGTGGCCTTGCTGAGCAGCATCAAAGCCAGTCCCGCCCTGGCCCTCCTGATGAGTAGCAGCTCCCAGAGGGGGCACCAACACTGGGAAAGGATCAGGGACCAGCTCCAGGCTCAGGGCTTCGTCAGGAACATCGACCAGCTCCGATCGAAGTGGAAACAGCTGAAGACGGACTTTTTTGCAGCTGGGCGGCCTGCCGCGGAAGGGAGGGAGAAGCCTGCGGTCATCCCTCCGTATTTCAACCGGATGCGGGCCGTGTGGGATGCGGCAGGACGCCCCCCCTTCAAGGACCGTCACCTGCCGGGTAAGTGGAAGCTTTATGTCAGGGGAGGGTGCCAGCAGCAGGCATCAGAGACGTTAACTCTTCATTCAAAGAAACAATCAGCTCCAGAGGCCAGGCCTAGTGAGCACAGCAACACAGATCCCAGTAGATCTTGCCCCAATGAGGCGGTTGTGAGAGCCAAAGGTCCCCACCTTCCTATGGCTCTCCTCCTCTCCCAAGCAGTCTGAGACTTCATTGCCTGGTCTGTTTCTACTCCGCACTGTTCATACCTCTCCTGGTTCTGGGAGACCAGCGGGGAGGGGAGTAATAATATAATAATAATTTATTATTTATACCCAGCCCATCTGGCTGGGTTTCCCCAGCCACTCTGGGCAGCTTCCAATAGAGTATTAAAAGCACGCTAAAACATCAGACATTAACAACTTCCCTAAACAGGGCTGCCTTCGGATGTCTTCTAAAAATCAGAGAGTTGTTTATTTCCTTGATATTTAAAAATAAAAACAAAGATTAAAAATACATTAAAATGTCACACATTAAAAACTTCCCTGAATAGGGCTGCCTTCAGATATCTTCTAAATGTCAGGTAGTTGTTTATCTCTTTGACATCTGGTGGGAGGGCATTCCACAGGGCGGGCACCACTACCGAGAAGGCCCTCTGCCTGGTTCCCTGTAACCTCACTTCCTGCAGCGAGGAAACTGCCAGAAGGCCCTTGGCGCTGGACCTCAGTGTCCAAGCAGAACAATGGGGGTGGAGACGCTCCTTCAGGTATACTGGGCCGAGGCTGAGTTTGCCCATTTGCTGTGTAATGTTGAGCATTGATTCCACCAGTACGTTAATAGTGACTGAGCATGCCCAGTGGGCACAGAATGTTGAGTGTCCGTTGGCAAAGAGGCGGAATGGAGTACTGAAGGAGGGCGTGGCTGGCTGAACACCACAACCAGAGCACTCCATTCCGGTGGTAACGTTTTCTCATGGTTCCCCGCTTGGCTCTTCATAATGGTGGTCGTGGCAAGGGCCCAGCCCCGTGTATCCCAGTGAGGTGACCTTGAGAGGTCGTGGTCCACAGTGAAACTGCCTTCTCCCTCTGCCCCCTTTCAGCTTCTTACCGAGCCCGGAGGCGTGAGCTGGAGAGATGTGAGGAAGATGACGAGGACGACATGGAGGTACAAGGCCCCTCCTGCTAACGGATGAGGGAGACACCTGGAATCGAGGAAAAACAAGCCTTCTGTGAGGTCCTATGAACCAGTAGCCAAGCGCCAGAACCAGGAGGGGCACCGCTGGGAACTCGAGTGGCCCATGTAAGAATAACGGAACAGCGTTCACTCGCAATTGTCTAGTCTGTTTTTAGCACTTACTGCTGCTTAGCTGATAAGGCTGACAACAACCCTGAGGGGTAGGCCAGTAATTATTGTTATTCATATAATTTGGACCTTTTTTTATTCCTTAATGTGCTTAAGAGAGCCAATGTGGTGTAGTGGTTAAGAGCGGTGGACTCGTAATCTGGTGAACTGGGTTCGATTCCCTGCTCCTCCACATGCAGCTGCTGGGTGACCTTGGGCCAGTCACACTTCTCTGAAGTCTCTCAGCCCTACTCACCTCACAGAGTGTTTGTTGTGGGGGAGGAAGGGAAAAGAGATTGTTAGCCGCTGTGAGACTCCTTAGGGTAGTGATAAAGTGGGATATCAAATCCAAACTCTTCTTCTTCTTAATATTACATAGCAGACATCAACCATAGAATCATAGAATCATAGAGTTGGAAGAGACCACAAGGGCCATCGAGTCCAACCCCCTGCCAACCCTGAGAGGCCAGTAAGATGTAACACATTATTTTATTTTATTTTATTCTAGTCTAGTCTAGTCTAGTCTAGTCTATTCCAAGCTTCTTAGCTTGACAACATCCATGTGAGGCAGAACAGTAATTTGGAGCTATAATTTAGAGCTTTAAAAAAACTACTTAATAAGCTTAATGAGATTTAACTAGTCATCCTGACAATGGTCATGAGAGAGAAGCCAATAAGTATTGTTAATTTTCCAGGGAACTTGGGGAATTGTAGATCTGTGAGGGGAATAGGAGTCTCTCCTTACGACTCTCAGCACCTGTAAGGAAACTGCAGCTCCCAGAATCCGTTGGGGGAAGCCGTGACTGTTTAAAGTGGTACCATAGTCTTGCAGAACGGATTTTATCTTAACCCTCTTTCCTGTCGTCTCGGTTATTGATTTCTCTTTCCCTCGCCTCAACAGTTGACCAGGTGGTGGTCCTTGAAATCAGGGGTCTGAAGAGGCAAGTGACTTCGTCTCCTGAAAAGGCGGGGAGAAACAAACAAAGTGCCCCCCTCCTTCTGTCTCTCATGAAACAGACTACAGCCACCTCCGTCCCCGGCAGAGACCATCGCTGAGAAGGAAGATGACCCCTTCCTGATTCTCCCACCCCAGGCTCTCTCCTCAAAAATGGCTCATTCCAAGGCACCGACCCTCTTGCTTTTCCCATTTGACTATCAATTCCACATTACATTAACGAGGGGAGGGGGGAGAATTAAAAGTTGGTGGTTTTGAATAAGCTTTTGTGCTCTTGTTTCTTCCGTTTGTTTGAAACTAAAATTGTATCCAAGTTAGGATTGCCATATTTCTAGAAGACACAAAAGTTCCTGATTTTATTATTATTATTATTTTGGAAAAAGAAACTCAAAGTTCTTGACCTTTTTATATTTAGGAAACTTCTTCAGCTTTTTTTTTTTTAGACAATCAACCTTGAAATCCCACACATTTTGCCGGTTCTCCCACCGGATGGCAACCCTAATCCGAGTTGCCGAAAGAACTTGTGGTTCTATCCCTTTCGCAAATTGTTCACGTTCAGGGCAGCTTCAGAAAGGTTTGCATTCCTTAACTCGACTCCATTATCAGGTGCGCAGGCTGGCTCTGCCGCAAGATCTGGGGCAGGGAACCTCGGACAGCAACTTTCCCACCCTGGTGCCCTGGTGCAACTTCCATCACCATGGCTTCCCCCAAGGAATCATGGGAGCTGTAGTTCGTTACAGGTTCTGAGAGCTGCCTGGAGAACACCGTTCCCCTCACAGAGCTACAGTTCCCAATGTTCCCTGAAAAGAGAGGGTTGGTTGTTAAGCCATTCTGGGAATTGTAGCACAACTCTCACAACTCTCAGCAGACGACAGACCCTAGAATTCTTTGCGGGGAGGCCATGGCTGTTAAAAGTGGCGTCTCAGCGCTTTAACCGCAGAGAAGGAATGGAGTCAAAGTACAAGATAAGTGCGGAAGGAAAATGGCAGGATAAATTAAACAAGGTGGGAACAATACTTTTGAGAGACGTAGCCTAAAATAATGAATACAGTGGTACCTCGGGTTACAGACACTTCAGGTTACAGACTCCACTAACCCAGAAATAGTGCCTCAGGTTAAGAACTTTGCTTCAGGATGAGAACAGAAATCATGCTCCGGCGGTGCGGCGGCAGCAGGAGGCCCCATTAGCTAAAGTGGTGCTTCAGGTTAAGAACAGCTTCAGGTTAAGAACAGACCTCCGGAACGAATTAAGTTCTTAACCCAAGGTACCACTGTATTCTAATATAAAAGGGGCAGATGGGCCTCATCCATCTGGGAAAATAGTCCATCTAGGAGAAGAAAAACTCTGATCCTAATTCTCTGCTGCCTTGTGGGTTATCTTCAGGAGAAGAAAACGCTAAGGAGTAGACCCTGCACGGGCGCCCAACATATTGCTCTGCTTTCCTTTGGACCACATCAACAAGGCCGAGTGGGGGGGGTCTTGACGTCTGGGCAGCCCAGGACCTCCAGACACACTGCCTAGGCTTGTGCCCTGTGGAGGTCACTTCTGTGCTGCTAACACAGTGGTTTGACTTCACCCCCCCCAGCCGCACTCCATTGTCTATTGAGACGGACAGATACCGACAACAATGAAATAAGAGGGAGAGGGAAAGCCTAATCCAATTAGAGACCTTGGATTAGTTAATTCTACATTATGGTGCTGGAGGAGACCCTTGAGAGTCCCATGGACTGCAAGAAGATCAAACCTCTCCATTGCAGCCTCATTTTAAAAGTAGCCCATAGATCAAAACCAGAAGGGGAGGGAAACATAAGGGTCCGACTAAGTCCAAACCAAAGGCCTGGTGGAACAGCTCTGTCTTGCAGGCCCTGCGGAAAGATGGCCCTTAGGTATAATAATAATAATAATAATAATAATAATAATAATAATAATAATAAATTGTATATCCCGCCCTCCCCAGCCGGAGCTGGGCTCAGGGCAGCTAACAAACTGGAACGTGTCCAGAGGAGGGCAACCAAAATGGTCAAAGGCCTGGAAACGATGCCTTATGAGGAACGGCTAAGGGAGCTGGGCATGTTTAGCCTGGAGAAGAGGAGGTTAAGGGGTGATATGATAGCCATGTTCAAATATATAAAAGGATGTCATATAGAGGAGGGAGAAAGGTTGTTTTCTGCTGCTCCAGAGAAGCGGACACGGAGCAATGGATCCAAACTACAAGAAAGAAGATTCCACCTAAACATTAGGAAGAACTTCCTGACAGTAAGAGCTGTTCGACAGTGGAATTTGCTGCCAAGGAGTGTGGTGGAGTCTCCTCCTTTGGAGGTCTTTAAGCAGAGGCTTGACAACCATATGTCAGGAGTGCTCTGATGGTGTTTCCTGCTTGGCAGGGGGTTGGACTCGATGGCCCTTGTGGTCTCTTCCAACTCTATGATTCTATGATTCTAACAGCAATTCTTTTCAGTTCTACAAATCTATAAATCTATGATTCTATAAACAACCAGGTGCGCTCTCCCTCATGTCCCTAAAAGCACCAGGGTTTTTTTATTCACACCAGGGACTTTTGACATTTTTAATAATCCAAATCGGAGATGTCCTAGTTTTGGTTTGCTTTTTTTTTTTTAAGACAGCGATGCCCCGAAAGGGTTAAGCCGAAGGAGTTTTCCCTCCTGCTTCCTAGAGAGGACAGGAGAGAGAGATGGAAAGGGATTAGCAAATTGCCCTTTTTCCTGTATGTAGTGGGGGGGAAGGGGGAGTGGGCTGCATTGCATTGCTTTGCATCTGCAGGAAGGCTGGAGAAAGAGGCAGAAGCAGCAGAAAGGCCCAGAAAGGAGGTGAATAGCTAAAGGGAGCTGGCGGGGGGGGGGGCAGGAAAAGGACTGGGAAGGGAGCATTGGGGGTCATCTGGAAGGGAGGGGGGGCAAAGCAGCAGGAGGGGTAGAAAATGAGGGAGGGGAGACAGAAAAGCTCCTTCAGTTCCCCCCACAACACACAGGATTATTCTGTTGGAAGCGGCCCAGAGTGCCTGGGGTGTAAATAAAAAATTATTATTATTATTATTATTATTATTATTATCATCATCATCATTATTAGAATTGAGCAATGACAAACCTATCATCATTATCATTATCATTATCATTATTCCCACTCAGCCCCTTCCAGATCCAGCAAGAGCTTTGCACAAATGCAGGATTGGGGCTGGTTCAATTGGGGATAAGGGGAGGCAGTGCCCCACCCCCCCACCCCAGTTCAGCCATAGGAAGCTGCTGCCTCTCTCAGACCCTCCAAGTGTCCCTATTTTCCAGGGACAGTCCCGGATTTAGAGAAGCTGTCCCAGTTTCTGATTTGATCCCACAATGTCCCACTTTTTATTTTCATTGGAGAAATGTTGGGGGGCTACGCCGCCAGGGGTCAGCAAACTTTTTCAGCAGGGGGCCGGTCCACTGTCCCTCAGACCTTGTGGGGGACCGGACTATATTTTGAAAAAAATATATGAACGAATTCCTATGCCCCACAAATAACCCAGAGATGCATTTTAAATAAAAGGGCACATTCTACTCATGTAAAAACACGTTGATTCCCAGACCATCCGTAGGCCGGATTGAGAAGGCGATTGGGCCAGATCCAGCCCCCGGGCCTTAGTTTGCCTACCCATAAAGGTTAAGGTAAAGGGACCCGTGACCATGGCCGTGGCCGACTCTGGGGTTGCGGCGCTCATCTCGCTTTACTGGCCGAGGGAGCCGGTGTACAGCTTCCGGGTCATGTGGCCAGCATGACTAAGCCGCTTCTGGCGAACCAGAGCAGCGTACGGAAATGCTGTTTACCTTCCTGCCAGAGTGATACCTATTTATCTACTTGCACTTTGAGGTGCTTTCGAACTGCTAGGTTGGCAGGAGCAGGGACCGAGCAACGGGAGCTCACTCCTTCGCGTGGATTCGAACCGCCGACTTTCTGATCAGCAAGTCCTAGGCTCTGTGGTTTAACCCACAGCGCCACCCGCGTCCCTGCCTACCCATGGGCTACGCTATATAGGAAAGACAGTCCTGTATAAGGGAAGCTTTTAACTTTTGATTTTGTATACGTACTTAAGGTGCATATGTCAGAGGCTGGTTTAGAATTATATTTTGGGAATAACTGATGTTCTTACGTCGCTGCATTGTTTTATACTTTCCGTACGTCCCATGATCATGTTATAAAGTAGTTGTGTTATGTTTTGAAATCAAGCACTGCTAAGAGTTGTTTCTTTTTGTTCCATCAATAAAAAAAATAAAATCCTGGTGCAGCGTGAGCAAATTTTTATTCTCAAAGTGTGTCCCAGAGGAAAAAAGTTTGAGAATTACTGCCATGGGGACCTTCTGAGTGCAAGGCAGATCTCTACCACTGAATCACAGCCTTTCCTCGGCCAGCCTCTCTTTCTTTCTTTCTTTCTTTCTTTCTTTCTTTCTTTCTTTCTTTCTTTCTTTCTGGCATTTCCCATCCACTTCCAGGCAGTATTAATGCAGTAACAGTGAGGAGGCATGGCAGCTTGTAGCTTCTACACAAAGGTACACAAGCCCCATTCTCTCCTGCAGCTGACCACAATCTTCCCATATAGTCAGATTTCTCAGAAAAGAAAGAAAGAAAAGAAAAATAGGGAGAGTTCATTTATTCCAGCCCTACGAGAGGCTGACCGCTCACCTCTGTCAATTTCTTTCTCTCTGCTTTTCAGGCCCTTGCTCACTGTGGTTTCTTCTGGGATTTTCCACAGCGCACCTTTGCCCAGGGATGAAGATGGAGGAGGAATATCCTGCAGCCCGGGGAGAAAGAGAGGAACCGGAAGGAACAGGGAAAGCCGCTCATGCCCTCTTGAATGCTGGTGGCCGCAAACCCAGGATGGATTTGGAGGCACAGAGTGAACTCCCCAGAGCAAGGCATTCGGGGAACGCCGAGGGGTTCCTCGAAAGGGGGACCCCACATCGCGTGAAGGAGGAATCGGAAGAGGGCTTGGCC